CCTCATAGGATGCACACTGTGTACTCTGGGGACCATGGGAATGATGTTAAGAAGTCTCAGTATCCTCAGCCCTATCTCTGTGACACTGCTGACAGTTCAGCACTCCCTCCAGGCCACAGCTGTGTGAAGATAGGGGTGCCTGTACCCCATCTTCTGAGGAGTATGTTCCTGCATAGAGTCCCACGTTCTGATGTCCACAATGATGAATGTGCACTTATTAGCCTCTAACTGTATGCTGTGCCCCCATCTCAGCCACTGAGACAAGTATAAATCCAACACATGTTCTAGGAAAAGGCCCACCCCAGAGCTGGCAAAAAAAAAAAAAAAAAAAAAGCCACCTGGAAAACTGGAAACAGAGAATATAGAAAATTCACTCACACTCCCACCCTGCAACCGTTAGTATTTTCTAAGTTCCTTCTGGATTCTGTGTGTGTGTTACATTACAGTAAGAATCATGATATGCATACTGCTCATGTTCTCTTCTGTTCTCTTCTTTCCAGCCAACTCAATGGAACATAGGTTAGTAGTTAAGCACACAGGCCCCAGAGCTTGATTCCCTGAATTCACATCCTGGCTCTGTTATATGATCTTGTACAATTCAGCAAACCGTACCTTATTTTCCCAATCTGTAAAATGAGGATGGCAATAATGAGGATTAAATAAATAACTGTCTTGATGTTAAGACATATAAACTACTTGGAACAATATCTGATGTTAGTGACCAGCTTCATAGCATTTTCCATGCTGCTGCATAATATTCATGATGACCATTTTTGATAGCTATAAAAGAGTCTACTGTGTCTACACTGGCTACTTTGCTTAATCATTACTCCTTTGTTAGATGTATAGGTTATTTCCAGCCATTCTGTATTATAAATAACACTGTCATAAATATCCTAATATATACATTTTAGATTTTTCCATATATAGATTCTCAAAAGTAGAAGCATAAGGTCAAAGGGCAAAAATATTTAATGCCTTTGCTCTAGACGGAGAACAGTTCTCCAAAAAGATTGTTGCACTTTAAAATACAAAGTATACTGGAACATTTTACTTTTCATTCCTCCCTCACCAGCCCTAGATGTCAACATGTTTTTTAAAAAATTATGCAAATTTAGTAAGCCATAAATAGTGGTAGTTTAATTTAATTTTACTTTAATTTCCTTTTGTTTTGCTTTGGTTTCACCATTGTGGGGGCTAATATTTCTTTTAAAGTTGTCTATTAAAGACAAAAAAGAAACAAACACTAAGGGTCTGCTAGGACTCTTGAGGCTAAGGGAACAAAGGAAAGAGGAAGTGGCAGTTGGCGGTGTTGGTGTCACTGAGTGGCATGCTATGAGGCTAGTTCTCTCAGTGACGGCCAAACTGCAACCTGGGTTGAACTGCTACTTCAAGAACAAAATAATGCTGTGGAGTTGAAGAACTAAGGCTGTGGGGCTGCCAGATGTAGCAAAACCAAAATGCAGGATACCCAGTTAAATTTCGGTGTTAGAAACAAATAATTTTTAGTGTATTTATGCTAATATTGCATAGGACATACTAAAAAAACTTACTGTTTATCTAACATTCAAATTTTGCAAAGTGTCCTACATTTTACCTTACAAGCCAAACAAGACAGATGATGCAAAGCACATTATCTCCCTCGACTAGCCTTTGTCTCTCTCTTTTTTATTTTTTATTTTTTTTTTTGAGACAGAGTTTCGCTCTTGTTACCCAGGCTGGAGTGCAATGGCGCGATCTCGGCTCACTGCAACCTCCGCCTCCCGGGTTCAGGCAATTCTCCTGCCCCAGCCTCCTGAGTCGCTGGGATTACAGGCACGCGCCACCATGCCCAGCTAATTTTTTTTGTATTTTTAGTAGAGACGGGGTTTCACTATGTTGACCAGGATGGTCTCGATCTCTTGACCTCGTGATCCACCCGCCTCAGCCTCCCACAGTGCTGGGATTACAGGCTTGAGCCACCGCGCCCGGCACCTTTGTCTCTCTCTAGCACCTACTGTTGGTGCCCAGCATAGAGCAAGTTGGCAAAGCAGAAAAGTGGTTTGCAGACAAAGCAGTGTAAAGAAGCTGAGAAACAATTACCCAATAATTGGTACAGTCCACCTTTCTGGCTACTCAGCATCCACATACAATATCTGGCACATGTGTACTTCCACACAACAAAAACAACTCTCGCCGGGCGTGGTGGCTCACACCTGTAATCCCAGCACTTTGGGGGGCCACAGCAGGCAGATCACCTGAAGTCAGGAGATGGAGACCAGCCTGGCCAACATGGTGAAACCCTGTCTGTACTAAAAATACAAAAAAGTTAGCTGGGCATGGTAGTGGGTGCCTATAATTCCAGCCACTCGGGAGGCTGAGGCAGGGGAATTGCTTGAACCCAGAAGGCAGAGGTTGCAGTGAGCTGAGATCATGCCACTGCACCCAGCCTGGGTGACAGAGTGAGATTCTATCTTAAAAAAAAAAAAACCCTAACAAAATGCCTGGCAACATTCAACTATCTTTCTAACAAATGAAGACATTCTCACCTCCCCAAAATGGGGATAGACAATGTCTCAACAATCAATTTAGTCATCTCTGGAATAGTCATGCTATCTACCCTCTAAGCAGGATTAATAGCTCATAAAATTCAGTCATATTTGAAAACTCTATTATCTAAAGACTAACGTGGAATTAACCTCCAACAGAACTTTTATAAAATAATTAGGAGGAGAAGGGAGAAGCAATTAGCTTATGCATACTATCATATATAGTTACATCATGATCAAGGAAGACAAATATGCATGGCTGCTACATTCCTTGTTTCTGTAACCAGTCATGGTGCCAAAGATCATTTTTATAAATTTCTTCCTCAACCTTCCATTCCATGTTTTCTCATCCTCAGACAAGACCTCAGGTGGCTGGGATTCTTTAACCAGTAAGGTGACCCAAACCTTCATTTCTGAAGGATCTGAATCCTCCATAGTCCTGAATCTCCTTAGTTGCAATAATATTTATTAATATATACTATTGAGCATGGAAATATGAAGATAACCCTCTAGAAGACTCCCCTAGGCTTCAGAAATAGTCCTCACTGTCCCTTTGATTATCAGGATGAATCATAACAGCCAGAAAAGTAATCCCCTTCTTTGCCCACTGTCTTAGTGGCATGAAGAGCCCCAGCTGGCCAGGGAGCTATTTCAACTCCAAATTCAATAAAATCATGTTGTAAATCCTAATGGAAGTATTTCCTTCTTGGCAACTAAGACCTCCAATCCAGTAGAACACAAAATTAAAGAGACAGGAAGCAAAAATTCTGTACATGGGTTATTAGGTGACATGGTGAAAGTAGCCACTCCCATTTCCATCCCACAATTTCTAGACCCATGCATTTTAGCTCTGAGAGAAAAACACAATGTCTTGTTTGCTAAGTTGTCATACATTGCATCCCATAAAACAGAAGCTCATTATCTCCATGGGGTGTTACTTCAACTTAAGACTTCAGTAGGCCATTCTATGATCTATGAGGCCAGCTGCTCCTGAGTGTTTGAGTACATATTAGGACTAGTGAATTTCATGGGCACGAGCATATTGCTGCCCATCTTTTACTGTGAAGTAATGTCCTTGATTAAAAGACTTGCTGTCAGTAATATATCTGGATGGTGAACAGATATTCCAAACATCTACAGATGATGGTGCTGGCAGAAGTATTATAGACAAGGAAAGAAATCCATAACCAGAATGTGTATCTGCTCCAGTGAGGACAGATTTCTTTCCTGTCTATGATGGAAGCAGACCAGTGTAATCATCCTGCCACCAGGTGGATGGTCCCCCCAGGTAATGGTGCCCATCAGGAGCTCAGCATTCTCTGTGATTGACAGGTTAATCATTCAGCAGTAACAGTAACAGACCAACTGGGTAAAAAGAGGAAGCCCATGCACAGCCTCCATCCTTAACCACCATAGCTGTTTTATGCATAAGTCTATGAGGCAAACCCTGGGTGACTGGAGAAGATGCTATCTAATATACACAGGTCATGCCATTTTGTCCACCTGATTACTTAAAGACTGTTTTCCTCGTGTCCTTTGAGAAACTCTCACAAGGGGCACAAATATCCTCTTACTCTGTACCTATCCCAAGAGGTCCATCCACCTACCTTTTCCCCAGACCTTCTGATCACTAATCTTACTATTTTGTTCTTTCCAAGTCCCTGACCATCCAGCTAAACCATTAGCAACTACTCATGAATCAGTGTAGTGCTAACCATCTCCTGAACCAAAGTATACAACTAAATTTATCACTTGAAGTCATGTCCATTGTCCTTCATCCTTATCTTCGAAAGCTACCTTTTATTGGGGCTGTGAGGCTGCCACTTTAAACAGCTTGTAAACCAAGCCCAGGTTTTTTCTCCTTGGTAAGCTGCTCTTAAGGAATCCCCAGGGAAGCCTTAGATGCAGATTCAGGGAGAAGAAGACATATAGCAGTGGCTCAAATGAATCTGAGCCACCTACTTATGCAACTTACTTGTCCCTTCCACACATACTCAAGCCATTTGATGATGGTGTGCAACCAGACCACTCAACCTTATGACTTTGTGGATAAGATGGGCAGCTTAGGCCACGTGGTCATTTAATGCCTCATGGTCAGGTTGTGTTCTCATTTTTTTAAATGTTTTTATCCACTTAGCCCTTATATCATTCTATGAGGCTCATAATTCTTTTTGCCGTCCATATTTATCCTTGTCATTTTCTTTATGAATGATGGTGGTAGCAGCATCTGGCTATCTGATCCCATCGCATGGGGTCAAGTAACAAACCAGGAGCTGTTTCTCAACTACAACAACAAAAAAGTTATCTCCAAAAGAGAGCATGGATTCGCACCAAAACTACAAGGCACAAGAGCTAAGAAAAGTTGCCTGTTCCTCCATAGGTCCAAGGTGTGGGGAAGTCTGCCAAGGGTCTTCTCTTGGGAGCTGGGGACCTGTGGCCAGAGGCTGATCTCAGGCCACTCTGTTGTTTCAGGCACAGCCTCCGTTGCTGTGGCAGGGATCCTGGCTGCTCTGCGAATCACCAAGAACAAGCTCTCCAATCACGTGTTTGTTTTCCAAGGTGCAGGCGAGGTATGTGCCGTTGAGGGTTTCTTTTGTGGTTCCAGGAGGAAAATAAGAATGGGTGGAAGCACAACAAAAAGGGAAACATTCTGAGGTTCTGAAAAGAGGAAGCAGCACAAACATATTGTGATCATTGCAAGCTGCCTGCATTTGGTAGGCTCCAACATTTGGGTGTCTCAAGGCAAGGACATAATTAGGCCTCCTGGGAGTCGTGGAGGTGGGGGAAAGAAGAGGGACTCATTATGGTGAGACATCAGATAAATGTTCAGCAGCTATTTGCCCTGTGTCTGAACATCCACCCTATGGTACCTTCCAGGCAGCCATGGGCATTGCCCACCTCCTTGTCATGGCCCTAGAGAAAGAAGGTGTACCGAAGGCAGAGGCCACAAGAAAGATCTGGATGGTGGACTCTAAGGGGCTCATTGTCAAGGTACTGTCAGTCTGGAGACCTGGAGGTTTCCTGACACCTACAGCTCCCAGGAACTGGACTGGAAGAGGTCTCCAAGAAGTAAACTGCTCAAACAGAATAGAGAGCAAAACGAGGGCAATGGCCTAAGCTCTAAAGCAAAAGATTCTTTCCAAAGTAGCTTTAATTGCTTCTTTCCAAAAGTTTGTGCAAGTGTGTAGATGTGTGCCCCTTCTAGTCTTGTCCCCCACCACTTCCTGACTTACACTAGCCTCCAGCCACGTTAAATCATAGTTTCCAAGAGCAACCTGCTCTGTCTTCCACATCTTTACACATCTTGTTCTTCTGCCTGAAGAGCTCTTCTCCCTTTTTCCACAAGCCAACTCTCAACCTTAGCCTCTTCCCAGTTTCTTCCTTATCTTCTGATAGTACTTAAATGTTACCTCCTCCAAAAAGCTTATTTCCTGTATCTATGCTCCATACACTGTACTTACCACACTGTAGAGAAGCTGTCCTTTTACTCTCTCCCCACTAGGCTACAGAGCTGATAGCAATGCCTGGCACATGGTAAGTGCATAATTAATGTGTGTGGCGTGAGTGAAAGAACGAATGAGAGAGAAACAGGCCAGCTTCTGGCTAGCATATGGTAAGAGACACAACTGAAGGATCCCTCCCTTAGGGCTACACTCAGTGCTTTAATTCCCAGAATTTCACTAACATAGATTTTCAGTGTGAGATGAAAAATTATGGCAACGATGGGAACAGGGGAAGTACCTAGGGACATTGACCAAGAATGGCAGAGATCCTCAGCAGAAACTGACCTATTTGACCCTTCTTATTGTTCCATATGGGGCAAGATTTCCGCTGGAAGGAACTCAGCCCTCTTCCTACCCCCATGTCTTTCCAGAGCATAATCTGGCCACAGATGCAGGATGCCAGAGACTGCCACTCTCCCCTCTTCTCCATCTTTCAACATCATGTTTCTCACTCCAAGCTCAACCCTAGTCAAGGAGCTCTCAAAGCTGACATCTTCACACTGGCTCCCATGAAGCCAGCTAACCCAAAGGAATCAACAAAAGCATCTGAACCCACATATCAGCACTTATTCCAGCCTGCCACCCACCAACTTCCATTTGAAGAAATGTAAGGAACTGTAGCTGGTTAGGCATGGCTAGTCATTATAAGGCCTTCTTGGAGCTTAGTTTAGTATTATTCACAGATTAATGGCTCTTATAAGCACATTCACATTAACTCCCTGACCCTGGGTGGCACAGGTCTCCATCCCTCAACTGAGTCTGGGTGCTGGATGCCTTGGGGCAAAGGGTCTTGGTGAAACTCAGGCATTGCCTGAGAGCCTTTCTGTCCTGGCCCAGGAAGCCATAATCCTAACAGCTCAAAGAAATTATTTATGGATTCTCCATATGTGGTTTGGGTTAAAGAAACATGCGTGCACATGCACACACACACTCACACCCTACACCCCCTCTCACACAAGCTTAGGTCCCACCATAGGTTCTTCCAGGAAATGCTGTCAAGAGTATGAGCCCCAAAACTTCTGACAGCTCAGAACAAAGCATGGGGCTCAGCGGGAAACGCTCTTACAGTTTCCAAATGCATCTGTACTCCTGCCCAACAGGCCATCACCACCACAGCTGCTCTGTGTTCCTTTGCCTATAGGGGAGGAGCCACCTGAACCATGAAAAGGAAATGTTTGCCCAAGACCATCCTGAAGTGAACTCCCTGGAGGAGGTGGTGAGGCTGGTGAAGCCCACAGCCATCATAGGTAAGAGGAGGGAGGGTGCCCACTGCCCAGCCCAGCTAACCCTCTTGACTTGCAGATGCAGAGACAAAGGCTCAGCCAGGAAGCCTAAGTAACCCATGAAAACAGCTCTTTCCCCTATCCTATGCGCAATTCAATGCTACAAACTTTTATTGAGTGACTGCTATATAAAAAAACCATAGAACTAAGGTGCCAGAGGTAGGGCTCATTGATGCAGAAATATACAATGCAGTAAAAAAGTGCAGGGCTGGTCTCTCAAACCACAATGAGATAAGCACTCCTCTTCTAAGGCAGACCCTGGCATCTCCTTGTGTACTGAGGGAGCAGCTCACTCTCCATGGAAATGCCCAGGAATGCCTTCACAGGAACAGCTTAATTGGCAGGGACCTGAGATGGACCAGTGGTCCCTTAGAGATAAACAGGAGGTCTCAGGCAGCTCAAGTAGGATGATCCTTTTCCCTCTGCTCCCTCAGTCCTTGTGGCAGATGCTGGGCCCAAAACCAAGTCTTTTATGGTGTTCCTAATTCCCCCACCACCACCACCAGCAGGAGAGGAATGGGTTGTTTATAAAGAGTAGGCATCCCCACTACCCCCCTTTTCCCTGTAGGTGTTGCCGCCATCGCAGGAGCCTTCACGGAGCAGATTCTGAGGGACATGGCCTCCTTCCACGAGCGCCCTATCATCTTTGCCCTGAGCAACCCCACCAGCAAGGCCGAGTGCACGGCTGAGAAGTGCTACCGGGTCACCGAGGTCAGCGGGGAGTCCTCCTTCCCCCAGCTGAGAGGACATAGTAAAATTACTATGAGTAACCCCATGAGGGTGAAAAAATATTCCTACATTGCTGATGAACAAACTGAGCTTCAGAAAGATGAAGTAACATGGCCAAGGTCACAGAGCTAATAAGGAGTGGAGCTGGCTGTCAAACCGAGGTCTGACTCCAAAGCCCAAGCTCTTACCTGTGTGCTATGCTGCTCAAGGTTCACCCTAAATAACATAGAGCTTTGACCAGAACCCAGAACCTGAGGCACCTGTAGGCTCTAGGCCACGTCCTGTCATGTCCTGAGTTGGCCCTCCCAGGAGGTGACAAAAATAGCACTGTGAACTCCATCACCTTTCAGCAGTTTCTTGGCTGCTAGGTAATAGGTGAGGACTGAGCTTTCTGGTCAAATGAACAAATGTGCTTTAAGTAACTGCTATGTTCTCAGCACAGTGCTGGGCATTTGGGAGAGAATGAAGAAGAGTCCAACATTTGGAAAATAAGAATAGGCCACTATTATTGCCCCAAACCAGCTCCAAGTTCATCTCTGGTTTTCTTCCTGCCTCCAGGGCCGAGGGATTTTTGCCAGTGGAAGTCCTTTTAAGAGTGTGACTCTAGAAGATGGCAAGACCTTCATTCCTGGGCAGGGAAACAATGCTTATGTGTTCCCTGGGGTGGCACTGGGAGTCATCGCTGGCGGGATCCGGCACATCCCAGATGAGATCTTCCTCCTGACAGCAGAGGTATCACTGTCCCTGATCCCTCAAATGCTTACAGTAAGGTCTGTGGGTTGACACCGGGTCCTATGCCTGATCTCTCTCATCATTTCTGCCCATCTACCCCAACGTTGCCAGTGGATTCCCAAAGTGCTTAAACCTCAAGCATCTCTCATGGCCACCTTGAGGCCTGATCTCTTCAATCACACATGGGACTTTTGAGGGGGAATGGGGAATAGTGGCAGAGGGTATTAGCAACAGGCACTGACAGGGAGGAGACATGCCTCATACTGCCTCCTGCCTTCTAGCAATGCCATCTAGATGCCTAACAGGTGACATGCCATCAAAGTCACCTGAAACTGAGGGCTTGTGGATGATGATAGATGATGGATTCTTCCAGCCACAGGCCTTGGCCAAATCACTGCGGTAACTGGTGGTAGTAAGACCCACTAGGACAGCTTTCTGTAAGGGAGGAGGGTGTCATACCTCGTTTTGTCTCCTTGGAGGACCCCGATCTTCAGCACTGATAAGAGGTGTTGGAAATGTACCTATTCCAGGTATCTTACTAGAAAAGCACACAAGAGTTCTTTACTAGAGACATGATGAAAACCATGAATCAGTTCATTAAGAATGACAGCCTGTTCACACTAATGGTTATTGATAACAGTTACAGTGGCTGAAATTACCAGATGGTTACCAAGTGCCTGGCACCTAACATTTATTCTCACTCTGACAAAACCAAGGCACAGAAATGTCTGTGTTAGGAGGTTAAGCTAATCAAAGCCATATAAAAATATGAAACATACTTATACCCAACAAGCTCCAAAGGCTCTCCTGTGACTTCTAACATCTTCCTGCATTTCCTTCTCACTGAGGCACTAGTGAGAGCCTGAAATCAATGAGACATGGGTATGGCTTCCACGCAGCCCTGTCTGGATCCACTTCTGTGAGTCTCACAGGGGACAACCTCATGCACCAGGTCTCTTCTTATTACGTCTAGTCTTTGAGCCCTGACTCTCCAAGACTGTGCAAATAATGTCTCCCAAAGGCTTTTCAGCTGCCCCAGCCCTGTGCACACTACTTATGATTTTGTGTCATAGTTCTCTGTTCCTCTTGTCTTGAGTATTCTGTTTGTCTTTCTTCTCATTGCTATGGTGGGTGTTCTTGTCCTGTAACTATGGACAGAGCTGTCTGAAGTTCCCACTGGATGGAAAGAGTTACTTTTTGCTTGAAATCAGCCTGAAAGCCAAGTTCCCTGTTGAGCAGAAACACAACTGCTAGAGTCCTTCCTATGTAATCCCATGAGACATCCACACATCTGCCCCACCACCTCCAGTGCTGTGAGGCAGTTCAGCTCCATCATTTCATGAACAGTGTCCATCACTTACACAGGAACCTCTCCTGGATCTACTTATTAAGCACCTGCTGTGAGCAAGATAAGGCCCCTCCCCTATAGGAGCTCATATCATGGTCTTCAAAGGCATGGCAGGTTATATTTCTGAAAAGGGTCCTTTTAGTGAAGATAATTTAAGTTGAATTTGATTTTCCTGTGGAATATTAAAATAGGCTTTAAGGAGATGTGCATGTACTACCCCATTTCATTGTTAACAACTCTGCAAAACAGGTAAAGTTCTTACTCATATATGAGTTTCAGTCACTAGCCCAAGGTCACTGGTCCTGTGAGCCCAGGATGGCCCAGGACAACTTGACTCCCTGTTGAAGAGCATTGCCAGTGCCCACCATCTTAGAAGTGATCACACACATATCTCTTCTCAAGGTAACTTTTTTCTTTTGAGATGTAGTCTTGCTCTGTCTCCCAAGCTGGAGTGTAGTGGTGCAATCTTGGCTCACTGCAACATTTGCCTCTTGGGTTCAAGTGATTCTCCTGCCTCAGGCTCCTGAGTAGCTGGGATTACAGATGCCCACCACCATGCCGGCTAATTTTTGTATTTTTAGTAGAGACAGGGTTTCATCATCTTGGCCAGGCTGGTCTTGAACTCCTGACCTCATGATCTACCCACCTCAGCCTCCCAAAGTGCTGGGATTACAGGCGTGAGCCACTGCACCCAGCCAGGATAACTTCTCTAGACACAGATCTAGCCATGGAAATCTTGCTGCTCTCATTTCAATCCAACTTCTATACCTTCACAAAGAGTCCTTTGAAACAGATCAGGCCAAATCTCTCCCCTAATTTCAGACTTTTGTGTGCCTCCTTAGTGCATACAGGATAAAGTCCAAACTCCTACCCATGGTTTCCATACAAGGAACTTCATCACCAGGCCCTACTTTCCTCTCCAACCTCACTTTTGATGTCTCCCTACCATCGATCTATCCAGTGGGCTGTTTTCAGTCTCATACCCATGTTCTCTCTCACCTTCCAGGATTTACAGATACCATTCTCTCCCCCGTAATTCATGCTTTGTCCTTCAGATATCATCCTGTGACACTCTGGGAAGCCTTTCCTATACATGGTAGACAGGATCCTGTCATCCTCCATGCCTCTATGCCCCCATCACTGCATTCACCCACTATAACGCTATAATCATTTGTTACTTGTCCACTCACACCAGTCTCCATAAGGGAAAAGACAATGGCTTCTTCACCATAGAATCCTTCCTTATGTGGCTCCCCAGCACCTAGCACAGAGCCCAGCACCTAGCACAGAGCCTAGAGACTAAAAGTGAGGCTAAAGAGGAAAGGAGGGCCCAGTGATGAAGTGCCTTGTATGGAAAGGAGTTTGAAGGAGCCATACAAAGGTCTGAAATAAAGAGACAGCCTTGGCCTGCTCTACATTTTGAAAGATATAGTACAGCTCAGTTAATGTTTGACTGAATGAATGAAAAAGAAAGTAAGAAGGAGGTAGAGGGGGAAGCACATTTCCCTTATATCTAAAAACACTGAGGCATGATAAACTTCTTAGCCTCATCACTTCTAAGACACACAGTTCTCAGAGAGCACCAGTGGCATTTCCCAAGTTTAAATTTAATACCAGAAGACTGGGTGGGAGTAGATTCAGAGCCACCACATTAAAGAGGCTGATTTGCAAGGCTGACCAATCCCCAGTGTCTGAGCCTGGAGGATGAGGGCCTGTGGCAGATGAGGCTTAACCCTCAGAGGCAAGGTCTGAACCTGGAAGGGAAGTGATGGGAGGCTCTGTTCTCAGGATGATGTGCTTAGGACATTTATTCAAATAAGGTATAAGACTCAGTCACCCACAGAGGAGAGGCCTTCCTCAGACTGAGACCAGGGCTGAAAGGAAGTGCTCTAGGAGCCTAAACACAAAGACATAACATAGCCTAGATGGTCACTCAAGATGAGTCCAAGCATGTGGAAGAAGGCTGAAACCCAGGAAGTGAGGGACTCAGGAATCCCTGTGTAATAGGCTGGATCAGCCAAGAGGAGATCTCATAGCCTTTTCTTTGCAGGCCATAAATTTATTCATCTTGGCTTTAGTCATTTTCCTTTGGAATTCAGAAATCCTTATGTTGTTTTAAGCCCCAGTCAGTTTTAGAGTACAGAAAGGATGTGTCTTTTCTTAAGCCCAAGCATTGCAGTCAAACTGCAATGTTTGACTAACTATGCAGGGTGGGGTGAGTCTCTGGGGTAATGGGTTGGACTTGTTTTGGGAAAGTGGAGACTCAGCTTATTCCTCTCGGTTCTCTCCTTCTCCCCAGCAAATTGCCCAGGAAGTCTCTGAGCAGCATCTGTCCCAGGGGAGACTGTACCCACCACTCAGTACCATCCGAGACGTGTCTCTGAGAATTGCCATCAAAGTAAGGGGCATCCTACCCCTGTAATATGGGTAGTGAGGCTCAACCACTTTCTCTGTCTGTGACTTTAGGAGGGCCAAGGGGATGGGAACTGTGGAGACATTTGAGCTTCTTGAGCTGCACTACATGCAACTCAGAGGCTGGGTGACAAGCTCCTGCTTGCAGCTTGAGCTCCACCCCAAACACCCACCCAGGCCAGTTCTGGGAAAGCTCCTGGATTTCCCCCCATACACCAAGCAGAAAGGTCATCAAAGTCCATGGACCAGAATGTGGGAATTTTTTAGAAATGAATCATAAGCACACATTTATAAGAAAGGTCAGCTTGCATGGCATCATGGAAAAAGCTCAGGCATTGAGGTCCCAGCTCTGCCAATGAGCAATGGTGTAACATTGGCCCAATCACTTCACTTACCTGAGCTTCAGTTTTCTCCTTCAAAGGGCCAGTAGTTTCTCTCTCCCAGAGTTCTGGAGATTAGCAGAGAACAGTGAAAAAGCTCTACACCCAGTGCTCTCCTGCCAGAGTAAACCTCTTTCTACCCCTTTTTCTCAGAATGGCTGGCTATGGGGTGATCAGCTTCATGGAATATTTCAGACTATAAGACGGTGCAGAGATAATGGGTTTTCAAAGAATCAGAACATGGGGCAATAAAGACTGGCCCAACATTGATAGCTGTTAAAACTGGATAATAGGTACATGAAGGTTTATCACACTATTATTTCTATTAGTGTGCAAATAATTTCATAAAATGCATGTACAACAGCACACACTACCCATGAGTTGTCTGGTATAGAATCCAGAATCAAGCCTCAAGATTAACAGTCTAGCTCATGGTCCAGCTTCACTCTGTCAGTTTCTTCCTTTGGGCGATATTTGGATTCACATTCTCCTAAAGCCAAACCTAAGAGAAAACAGTGTACAGGCTGTTCATCCAATTTAACCCATATTCATATAGAAAAAAAATCAGGTTCTGGACACTTTAGCCTGTTGTCTAATTTTATCTTAACACCACTCCAGAGAAAGGTCTCCTTACTCCCATTTTACAGACAAGGAAACTGAGGCTTGACAAGGATATCACCTCTGAGGACCCACAGGCCTTTGGAAGCAGGCAGAATTTATGCTGAAGCCTCTTGACCCTGGCTCAGTATTTATTCCACTATGTCAAAGCTGCCTGTCCAGGCAGAAAGCTTAAAATTCTTCCTATCCAGTGGTTTCATGAACCATACTCCTGAAAGAAACGTGTCTGGTTCCTTAAGGTGTATTCCCCTCCCCTAGACTCCCAAACAGGGATCCTTAAGCAGGTTTCCCCTTAGATCCAGTTCCTTAGTCAAATCTCTTTTTCCCTAGGTTCTTGACTACGCGTACAAACACAACCTGGCCTCCTACTACCCAGAGCCTAAGGACAAGGAGGCTTTTGTAAGATCCCTGGTCTACACTCCAGACTATGACTCCTTTACACTGGACAGTTACAGTTGGCCCAAGGAAGCCATGAATGTTCAGACAGTCTGATGCAGTCTCATGGGCTGGTATGGGGCTGGAGGAAGCCCAGCATAACGCCCACAATATAAATGGGTTCCAAAATGGCCCAAGTGAATCCTTGTTGCTGTGTTTTTTCTTTTAAACTTTCTGGTGTGAGAGGAGATGCCAAGGCATACATGAATAAAAGCCTTGTCTCTGAAGGCCCTGGGAGTTCATTTTTCTGAACCCTCCTCTGAGTTCCTTCCTAAGCATTTCTTCATCCATTAATTACCAACTACTGGCCAGGCCTTGTGGGAAATGCAGAATTTTGCCTAGAATCCTGCTTTACAGAGCTCAGGCTCTAGTAAAGGAAACTGGACACAACTCATTTTGCCATACGGGAGAAAGTGGTTAAGTTCATGAAAGAAGAGCAGATAAAAACTGAGGGTAGTTAGAAAAGGGAGAGGATATTTCCTATGAGAACATAAAAGAAGGCTTCAGGGAGAGCAGAGTTTGCACTGAGTCCTGAGAGGAAAAGATGGGTAGGAGTCATGGGGAGATGAGGAATGCGAGCACAGCCACTAGCCAGAAAACATGGCTCACCCATCAGGGAGTTCAGTCCATGTCAGCAATACACACCTTTCCAGACTCAGCAGTGTGTGAAGGCTGAGTAGCTGGGGGCAGCTCACTATCTATTCAGGAATGGTCACTGCCCTATGGGTTGTTGAGTCTTAGACATTCTTTTTTGTAAAAGGAAAACCAGAGAAATGTGGGTGGGGAGAGTCAGCCTGCCAAGGAGTGAAGAAGAAGAGAGGTGGTGACAGGAAGAGCACCACAGGGAGTTCTAGGGAAGACTTGATTTCATTTTCCTGGCTCTGAAACACACTCTGGCTTCCATCCTTCACTCTCTGAAGTAGTTGAGCAACCCAAAGCTGTTTTTTATACAGTAATATCAGTCCATCCTGGGTGTTTCTTAGACCAAGTTCAGTGCTAGCCTTCATCTCCCTCATGAAAAGCACAACCTATACACAGGAGTGGCGGTGGGGAGAGAGCTTGCAGCCCCCTGAAATTAGATACTGCTAAGATGTTAAGACAAGGTGAGATGACAGCTTCCAGCCTCTAATTCCATTGTGTAAGAAAGGAAACAATAAATCATGCTTAGGGCCCTACTCCTGCTACCACCTCAGCCTCAGGATCTCCTCTGCCCACAACGACTAGGCTCTATACGGCCAACTCTAAAGGACAGACTAGATGGACTACTAGACTTGCAGAAGAGTAATTAGCAGAGGCACCACTTACCTCTTGCTCACATCTTATTCTTCCAAGGACTGCTTCCTCAGTGCTGGTGATCAGCCAAGAATATCCTGAGAAAACATCTTTCCTGTATGATTCTTGGGATCATAGAGAATGAAAAACTATTCAGAAGAAAGTTTGAAGAGTGAAGCTGGAATCTGAGCACCATGGAACTTTTGGCATTATCTTTTTACATCATGTCCCATAACTTCCTCTGTACCCTTGCTACATATCCTTCATAATCAACATATTAGAAAAGAAAAATGATAGTAGAGAAAATCAATGAAAGGAAAATAGGTTCTTTGAAAAGATCAAATAAATTAACAAACTTTAGCTATACTAATTAAGACAAAAATAAAGAAGATACAAATTACACTTCCTTTGTTCCAGCCACACTGAACATCTTGCCAGCACTAAGCACATGTGCTTTCAAGCCTATCCTGATATTATACATGATTGGTCTCTCCTCCTGGGAAGTCCTTCTCTTCCCTTTTTTTTTTCTATTTACTGATTAAATTTTAGTTCACTGTAGCTTTCTGCCTGGAAACAGCATTCAACCTTGTATTTCAAATGCATTTGGCTCCATAGAGTAACAAAATTAATAATTAAATTAGAAATCAATAAATAGAAAAGTATGGGAAATTCCAAAATATTGGAAAACAGTACCTTTCAAAATAACCGATAGATCAAAGAAGAAATCACAAGTCAAATTATATATGTTGAAATGATTTTTAAAAAGCTTATCAAAATTAAGATGTAGCTAAAGCAGTATTTAGAGAGAAACTTCATAGCTTTAAATGCTGTCATGGTTAATCTTATGGCACTACAGAGTGCCCAGATATTGATCAAATGTTATTCTGGGTGTTTCTGGGAGGGTATTTTTGGATACAATGAATATTTAAATCACTAAACTGCGTAGATTGTCCTCCGCTAATTGCCCTCATCCAATTAGTTGAAGGTCTGAATAGAAAAAACAGACTGACCCTCCCTTGAGTAAGAGAGACTTATTCCTACCTGATGCCCTTCTAACTGATATTGGCTTTTTCCTGCCTTCAGACAGGAACTACATCATCATCTTTCTTAGGTCTCCAGCTTGCTGACTCACCCTATAGATATACATCTTAGAATCTGACAGCTTCCATAATCATGTGAGCCAAGCTAAGTCCTTATAATAAATCAACAGAAAGAGAGAAAGATCCTATTGGTTCTGTTTCTCTGGAGTACCCTGACTAATGCAAATTCCTATATCAGAAGAGAAAGACAGAGAGAAAGGAAGGAAGAAAAGTCTCAAGTCAATAATTTAAACTTCCTCCTTAAGAAACAGGGTGGAGGGAAGCAAGCAAAATTCAAAGCAAGCAAATATTAGAGCACAAATCAATATACCTATAGTAAGGAAATTAGTAATTAAAAAATCTTTCCCCCAAGAAAAGCCATGTCCAGATGACTTCATTGGTTGGAATTTATCAAATAGGTGAAAATGAATACATATGTGTGATGGAATACTATACAGCCATGAAAAAGAAATAAAATCATGTGTTTTACAGCAACATAAATGGAACTGGAGGCACTTAAAACTCAGAAACAGAAAGTGAAATGCCATATGTTCTCATAAGTGGAGCTAAATAATGTGTACACATGAACAAAGAATGTGGAATCTCACTGGAGAGCTGGAAGGGTGTGGGAGGGTGGAAGGAGAGTGAGGGATGAGAATTTACTCAATGGGTATAATGTACACTATTTGGGTAACGATTACACTAAAAGCCAATACTTCACCACTATACAATATATCCATGTGACAAAACTTCACCTGTACATACACCTTCAATTTATACCAAAAAAAGACTGTGTGGTCATATAAATAAATGAAGCAGAATTGAGAGTTCATAAATAAGTTTTTACATTTATGGTAAACTGACTTTTAGTCAAAGTTACTAAGGTAATTCATTGGGAGAAAGAAAGTCTTTTGAACAATGGTGCTGAAACAACTGAATATCTACATGCAAAAAAAAAAAATGAACTTACACACCTCACACTAAACACAAAAATTAACCTTTAGACATCTCACACCAAACAACAATTAACCTGAAATGGATCACAGACCTAAATGTGAGAGCTAAAACTGTAAAATTTCTAGGACAAAAAATAGCAGAAAATCTTTGTGACTTAGGTTGAGGTGAGTTCTGGGATATAACTTTAAAAGCATGATTCATAAAAGGAAAAAACTGTACTTCATCAAAATTGAAACATTTTGCACTTTGAAACACACTATTGGGGACAAAAAGACAAGCAGCAGACTGGGGGGAAATAAATCATATATCTGATAAAGACATTGGATCCAGAATATATAAAGAACTACTTCAACTTATTAAGATAACAATTCAAATTTTAAAATGAGCAAAAAAATGAACATTTTACCAAAAAGATGTGTGAATGGCTAACAAGCACATGAAAAAAGTGCTTAACATTATTAGTGATATGAAAATTAAAACTACAATGGGATTACACTTCATACTCACCAGAATGGCTATAATAAAAAAAGATGTGTTGGTAAGAATGTGGAGAACTTTGTCTCCTAAGGACTGTTAGATTAAGGGAGAGTTCCCTTGCCTTTTAAGTCTTCACTGTAACTCCCCAGGCTCCCATACACAGCCCCAGTATTCAGCAAGTGTCATTTAAGAGAGTGGATGTTGTGGTTGCACCACCTAGTCCTGCCTTGGGTCTGAAACACTCATTCCTCCAGATGCCATTATCAGCTCAGGGCCCACAGCTGCATCCCTCTCTAGGAATTGCCCTTGACTGAAGGTTAATGCTTCACCCAAGATTATGCCATCATCCCCAGGGGAAGCCTACAGGCAATGACTGGTATATTCAAGAGCCCAAAGGCCTAGCTTCCTAGTGTCACAGCTGCATCCCTCTCTAGGAATTGCCCTTGACTGAAGGTTAATGCTTCACCCAAGATTATGCCATCATCCCCAGGGGAAGGCTACAGGCAATGACTGGTATACTCAAGAGCCCAAAGGCCTAGCTTCCTAGTGTCAATTGAGAACATCTCTTAATAGCCACCCCATCCTCAGAGCTCCCTATGAGACTGGCTGAGGCTGCTGTTGCAACTGCTGTATATCACATTCAACTTCTTATGCCCTATCCTGTTTCTCTTGCTCCCTCATAGGTGTTGTTCCCTGAGAAGACTCCCCAGTAATCCTTTGGATGCAAATCTCAGATTCAGTGTCTGTTTCCTGGGGAACCCAACTTTTAACAGTTAGAGGAAACTGGCCAAAGTTCCTAATTTTCCAATTTGTTGCACCAGTCCCATGTGACCACCAAAAGCTTTTCTGGGTTTCTCTTTCCCTCAGGAGAGACCCTCTTCATGGACCAAGCTTGACCCTTATTAGTCCATGTCCAGAATCAGTAAATGTCCCTAGAAAATAAAATGGTCACTTACCTCATAAGGGCTCCTCCCTTTCTGGAATTCCCATTCACCTAGTCTTACTGCTTTCAGAACTCTCACATACCTTTAAACATGATCTTTTTAATTTTTCCATCTTTTTTTAGTTGTTGCAGGAAGAGTTTTAGGCTGCCATGACCTACTACATCCTAGCCAGAAGTGGAAGTCTCCAGAGAGATTTTCAAAATTACAGTTGTATGGATATTAACTTTTTTCCTAACTCAACTGAATTGTGGTGAGAGAATGTGTTCTGTATTATTTAAATAGCTTAAAATTTGCTGAAATTTTTTTGTAGTCAAATATATGGTCAAATTTAACAGTTCATATACTCTTAAAAATATGTATTCTCACACTGCTGGATGCAATGCCCTTTGTATGTTCATGGAATCAAGTTTGTTGATTGTTTTGTGTAAATCTATATCCAAAGTCTTGATTTTTGTCTACTTGGTCTTCTTGTGAAAGAGGGATAATAAAATTTCCCACTGCTCTGGTAAACTTGTCAATTTTCTTTGTAATTCTGTCCATACTTGCTCTATTTATCTTAGATCAATGTTATTAGATTCATAAAGTTTAGGATTGTTACAACTTCCTGATAAATTCGAACTTTTGAAACTTTAAGTAGTGGCTCTATCTCTAGCAATGCATTTACTTCTCCTTCTACTGATATTAACATAGCTATACTGTCTTAGAAACTCTCCCACAATTCATTATTTACTCAGATGATTAAGCTCTTGTACTAGCTGGTGAATGATGAACACAAAGTATTTCTCCCACAGAACTATAAACATATATTGTTCCCAGACAATATGAGTATATGGTTGTGCTAACATTAATACATTTCACTATTTTATCAATTACATAATAAAACTAATTATGAAGTATACAAATATTGTTACACAGTTCAAAAAGCAGATAAAATATTAAATGATCAATTCAGTAGTAGAAACTCACTCCTTTGGTTGAGAAAACAAGAAAAAAAAATCATACTTCAAAGAAACAGTAATTAAAAAGCAGCTTCTAATAGGTATGGGGAAGAAGTACAAGATTTTCTGAAATTTTATAATTTAGAATTGTTTTAGCTACAAAGACCAGGCACCTTTACTTTTTAAAAAACATTTACTAAATTAAAAGTCCTACTCCATATGTTCTGCACAAGATCAAAACAACATTTTACCAGAAATATTTCACAGTCTCCTCTCATTCTGACTTCAGAGCCCTCCCCATTAAGGTGCACCCCAACTGTAAACATTAATGATAAGGTCTTCTTATCTGAAGACATTCAACACATGTGCTTCTGTACCAAATGTATTTTGCATGAACTTTCAACTAGAGGTTAATTTTTCAAACTGGAGGTTTTCATAACAAAATGAGATTAGAGAAAGACATCAAATAATCACAAGATGTGTTTGTTAAGAATTCAACAAAATTACCTGTAGGGCAAACCTGATGTATACTGGGACCCGTGTGGGATGGTAAACGTGAAGCAGGCAAATAATCATATAGGCCCTAATTGCAGTGTTTGAAATGACTTAAGGAATGAATAATTCTGTATGATACTAAAAATATACAATTATTGTGCTGGGGATCTTCGCGTCTAATCTCTAGATTTCTTATGTATTTTTTCTGGCATGGGAATAGCAGTAAGCCAAACATAGAAGCTGCATTTCTGTTAAATTCATAGCTTTTTGATATTCCTGTGGAAGCTTCATCAGACTTACTCACTAAGCCCATATGTTGGCTAAAATGTACATTAATTAGGTCTTGTCTCAAGTTCCACTTCCAAGGAAATACCATCAGGCAGCCAGGTTTATTGACTACAACAGTTGTTTCTGTGACCACTAGAGTCTTTGAAGGGAAGCCGCATTTGAGTACGTTATTTCTCAAAACACAAATGTTGTTTGCTGTTAAAAGCACCGCGCCGTTTTTGTCTTATAAACTGTGCTGCATCTTCGTTTTTCATTCCACTTTCAATTAATGTTAGGGCAACAAGCACTGGAGTCCTCCCAAGACCTGCAACACAGTGAACAGCAATGCAACAACCAGGTTCTTCACGAAACTTAACGTCTGCAAGACTTAACCAGTCATCAACAATCTGGTTGGATGGTGATTAACTATCATCAAAAGGCCAGTCCAGAACCTGGATGCCTTCTTTCTGCAGAAGAGCAGGGTCATAAGTTGCTTCACATACTCTGACTATTGTGGTAACCCCGTATTTCTTAAGTTCTTCTATAAATCTGTTTAAGGTCTAATTGGTTGGTTTGTGTATAATAAGAAATCTCATTGGAGTCATGTTAACTTACTTAAAAAACACTGGGCCGGGCGCGGTGGCTCAAGCCTGTAATCCCAGCACTTTGGGAAGCCGAGGCGGGTGGATCACAAGGTCAAGAGATCAAGACCATCCTGGTCAACATGGTGAAACCCCGTCTCTACTAAAAATACAAAAAATTAGCTGGGCATGGTAGCGCGTGCCTGTAGTCCCAGCTACTCAGGAGGCTGAGGCAGGAGAATTGCCTGAACCCAGGAGGCGGAGGTTGCGGTGAGCCGAGATCGCGCCATTGCACTACAGCCTGGGTAACAAGAGCGAAACTCCGTCTCAAAAAAAAAAAAAAAAAAAAAAAACCAACACTGATATGGTTACAAAAAAATTAAAAATTTTGAATACAGAAATGATGTCAAGAAACTGAAGTCTATGCTAATAAGCTCCACTTGAAATCCACAGAGCTTTGAATATGAAGTTGGTAGAGACAGGAAATGAACCTTCAAACAAGAACCCACGGTTCTTCAATTCAGTAATTCTGAGCCAATGGAAAGGAACTGCACCAAGGGTCACCCCACCTAGGTCTGGACTCTTGTAAAATGCTCTGATGATCTCAGTTCTACACTTATTTGTCCAGGTGACCCGCTCTGCAGGGGATTCTTGGTGAAGCAGTAATGACTTTCCACCATTCATTTGTCCTCATAAACATCGTGCTGTACCTGGCGTAATCTCCAGGCCCTTCAGAAACTCCACAAATGCGTGACCAAGAACATCATAGAAAGGAACATGTTTACTCATAAACGATGATGGTCTAACCTTACAGCTGGGCTGCAGCACGGCCGGCAGCAGCAGCAGTCGTCGCGGGGCTGCTGTGGAGAGGCAATAAGTTCTAGCGAGGACCAGCGGAGCGCCTCCACGGAGCCAATAAGCGCACGTCGAGGTGCCGTTGCGTCACAAGCCCTCTCTTTTGTTGACGGCGCAGGACGCTGGAACCCTTTCACCAATGGCGGTTGGGCGGACCAAGGAGGGAACGAGGGCGTGAGGTCCGCCCCCCGCAGACGTCACCACGGCCGCCGCCGACGTGAGCACGTTGCTGAAGTGAAGAAGCGCTGGATGAAGCCTGAGCGAGCGTTCACCTCCCGCTAGAGAGTATGAGCGGCTGAGGAGCGAGGCGGGTGGTGGGATAGGAGCCCAGGAATAGGCAGGAGAAAAACTGGAGGAAGACAGATAAGGTAAGGTAGGCGAGGATTTCGCAGCCATTGACTCTTGACTGGTGTATCTTTTTCTACCTGCTTCATGTTTCAAGTATGTCTCCGGAACAACATCATGTTTGGCGGGTTTTTTTCCCCATCAATCCAGTCTGACAGACTTTGACTTTTAGCTGAAAAAGAGCTCGTTTGCATTTTTGCCCTCTTTTGTGCTTTTTGACCCATATTTCTATGTTTTTTACCCTTTCTTGACCTCTTTTGGGTTAAGAATTTTCCTGTACTGTTTTGGAAGTTTTCACTGAGGCTGATAATTCCTTAGCACATATTTTAGGTTAAGCACTGTTCGAAACTTTATATAAATGTTATACAAAAACCCTGTGAATTAGATACTAGTATCATTTCTACTGTCCTGACTTTAAAAACCTTGGCACAGAACGGTAACTTGCCCAAGGTCAGACAGCTAGTAAATGACCGGGATGAAACTTTTTAAAAAACTAATTTTAACTTTTATTGTAGATTCAGGGGATGCACGTGCACATTTGTTACATGGGTATATTGAGTGACCCAGCGTATGAATGATCGACCCTGTCACCCAGGTAGTGAGCATAATACCCAATAGGTAGTTTTGCAAGGGCTAAGATTTGAATCCTTCAATTTTGGCTCTGGAGTCTGCCTCTCTAATACATATGGTCTATTACATACCCTGTTTCTGTTCTTTTAGTGCTTAAATAGCTTAGAGAAATTCAAATATGGTTCAGAATCTTTTCCTGCCTCTTGAAGGAATCCAGTATGCTTTAACTATTAATGTTGTCAAGCATCTTAATCTTTTAATGCCATAAATTAGACATTATTATTTGTAAAAATCAACGTTTAAATTTATTCATGTTATCAATTTCTTTGCTCACTGTTCCTTCTTGCAGCTTTATTCTTTCTGAGATTTGTCTATCCGAAAGTATTTTTTTTTGGAGGTTCCTTTGAGTATCTGATCAACTTTGATAAATATTTTATAAATGCTAGAAAACATGTATTCTCTCACTGTGAATCCATTTCCCTTATTGTTAGTAAACTATATTTTGTTTTTTTCTTTAGGTTTCTTTTTTGGCTTTTTTTCCAAAATTATTTTATTTTGCCTTTGTTGTTAAAAGTTTTGCTGGGTATAAAATTCTACATTGACATTTTCTCCCAGCCCTTTGAAGGAAGGAAGAAATAGGGCTTTACTGCAGTGGCCCATGTGAAGGCCAGGAAGCAGTCTACACAGTTTAGAAAATTCTAACAGCTGTTAGAGAAGAAACCTGAGAATAAGAATATCTTCAGAGGGCTGAGAGAAAATGTCAATATAGAATTGTGTAGCCAGCAAAACTATAAAAATGAAGGCGGGGGCTGGGTGCAGTGGCTCACGCCCGTAATCCCAGAACTTTGGGAGGCCGAGGCTGGCGGATCATGAGGTCAGGAGTTCAAGGCCAGCCTGGCCAACATGATGAAACCCTGTCTCTACTAAAAATACAAAAATTAGCTGGGTATAGTGGCATGTTCCTGTAATCCCAGCTACTCGGGAAGCTGCGGCAGGAGAACTGCTTGAACCAGGACCCGGGAGGCGGAGGTTGCAGTGAGCCGAAATTATGCTGCTGCACTCCAGCCTAGACTACAGAGTAAGACTCTGTCTCAAAAAAAAAAAAAAAAAAAAAAAGGCAAAATAACCAAATATTAGGGGGAAAAAAACAAAAACTATAAGTGAAAGGAAAATTTCAAAAGCAAATTAAATCCTTTACTTTTGAAAGCCTAAGCTTGTAAAAATAGTGAAGGAAAGCCATCTAGAACAGAGATTCTTAGCCTGTGGTCCAGGGGTTCTAAGAAACTTACAACTGGATGCAAAATGTTGTATAGGAGCATGTACCTGTTTTTAGGAGAAGGGTATATATTTTTCATCAGATTCTTAGAAGAGTCCTTGACTGTCCAAAACACTGAAAACCACTGAAATAGGGAATCCTTTGATATATTAACCTGATCTGGCTGTGCCACAGTTCTGGAAA